TCTGGAAAGGATGTGGAAGGAGTTGTGAATCTCTTAAGGACGTTAAGGTTGAACGTTTTGTCTGAGGAACTGGAACCGTTGGGTTTGGGAGCTGCGGATCAAGCTGACTTGTTAACAAGGATTCGTTTGGCTCAAGAGGAGGATGAGAATCTGAATAAGGTGTCACAGAGTGACAAGACCGAGTATCAAAATCCCAACAATGGGACAATTATTGTGAATGGCAGAGTGTGTGTTCCTAACGTGAAAGAGTTAAGGGAGAAAATTCTGAGGGAAACACATCAGTCAAGGTTTTCTGTGCATCCGGGAATGACCAAGATGTATCAGGATCTGAAAAGGTACTATCATTGGGTCGGGATGAAGCGGGACATAGCCAAGTGGGTGGCTAGCTGTCCGACATGCCAGTTGGTTAAGGCTGAGAATCAGGTTCCGAGTGATTTGTTGCAAACATTACCAATGCCGGAATGGAAATATGATATGATCACAATGGATTTTGTGTTGGGTTTACCGAGGTCTCTGAAGAAGCATGATGCGATTTGGGTCATTGTTGATAGGCTGACCAAGTCTGCTCACTTCTTGCCTATGAGGAAAACAGATGGAGTGGCTAGGCTGGTGGAGTTGTATGTCGATGAGATCGTCAAGCTTCATGGAGTGCCTGCGAGCATTGTGTCTGATCGTGATCTGAAGTTTACTTCACGATTCTAGAAAGAGATTCAGAAAGAGTTTAGGACGAAGGTGCATATGAGTACTGTATATCATCCGCAAACAGATGGTCAGTCTGAAAGGACCATCAGGACGTTAGAGGACATGCTGAGAGCGTGTGTACTGGACTGGGGTGGTAATTGGGAAAGTTATCTACCGTTGGCTGAGTTCGCGTACAACAACAGTTACAATATGAGCATAGAGATGTCTCCGTATGAGGCGTTGTACGGAAGGCCGTGTAGGATACCGCTATGTTGGACCTAAGTGGAGGAGCGGAGTGAGTTAGGACCTGCTATAGTCGAAGAGACTACTGAAAAGATCAGGTTTTGAAGGTTAAGCTGAAAGAGGCTCAAGACCGACAAAAGAGTTATGCTGACAAGCGCCGTAAGGACTTAGAGTTCAGTGTGAGCGATCTGGTTTATCTGAAGGCTATGACTTACAAAAGGAAAAGCCGAGCAACGTTTGATGCTAAGTTGAGTCCGAGGTACATGGGACCGTACCGGATTCTGGAAAGGATTGGACCAATGGCGTATAAGTTGGACTTACCGCCGAAAATGAGTGCTTACCACAATGAGTTTCACGTGTCACAGCTGAGAAAGCACATAACCGAACGTGAAACTGTGATATCTGAACCACTTTCAGAATTGCAAGAGGATCTGACCGTGGAAGGTAGACCGATCCGAGTGGTTGACCGGAAAGAAATGCTTAGGCGTGGTAAGAGGGTCAAGATGATCCAAGTTGTATGGGACTGTAATGGGGATGAGTAAACTACTTGAGAAGTAAAGTCTAAGATGAGCACAAGGTTCCCGAAATGGTTTGAGAAACTTCAGGAAGAAGAAACGGATTCGAGGACGATTCCAAACCAAGTGGGGGAGAGTTGTAGCATCCGTATCTGAGAAAATCTGAACTGATCGAGCCGGACAGGAGGTTGTCCAAAGGAATGTGAGTTCAGTCAAGGGAAAAATCTGTATATATGGGAGGTTCAGACTATAGTCGATGAATGATTGGGAAATAGTCGAAGGATGACCGGGCTGGCCGAGCAGGACGGACCATATCCGAGAGAAAAATGGTTCTGTCCGAGAGAAAGTGGACTATGTCTGAGCGAAAAGGAAAATAGCCGAGTAACAATGGGCTGCGCCGGTGGGCCGTGAGTTTGGTCGTATAAAAACTAATTTCTCGCATGGATGGTGGAGCGGTTTAGGCGATAGCCGAGATAACTTAAAACTAACCGGGATAAACCTGACTGGAACTGAGAGACACCGGCTATAACCGGGCTATCTAGATTTTGCGAGTATAAAAGTGGATTTATATGACTTTTCTCGGGAGAGCCGCACTTTTTGAGAGAAAAAGAGCGAGAGAGAGATATTAGCCGAGTGATTATCCAAGAGAATATGATTATTCCGAGAGTTAGCCGAGAGAGATCAAAGTTTCACCGGCGATTCCGACTATCACCAAGAGATCGAGTTTCTGTCCGTGTTTCTCTCAATCTGATCCGACCATTCTCTCTGATTTGGGGATTTTCTGGGGGAATCACCGAGTTTATCTGATGATTTCTGAGCGGATCATGAGATATCCGTGAACACTTTGATTCGTCCAAGAGAATCTGGTAAGTGTTCGGCTTTTCTGATTTTTAATGAGTTTATGTCGAGTAACACTGGACTGATTGATCTGAATTGTACTGTTTCTGAGGGAATACAGATTCTTGCCTGAGAAAAAGTGCACGGGTTGAGAGATAGCGAGAAGTGTTGAGATTTTGCCAGACCAGTCTGAGCGATAACCGTGAAATTGCAAGTGTGTGCGACTATCTCATTTTCTGATCGAGAAACCACTGAGATTCATTTGACTGAAATGTTTGTTTTTGTGTCTAAGGTGAGTGTGTGACCGTGGTCTGTATCTAGAATCGTTTGATTGCTAGGTTATCTGATTTTTATTAATTGCTTGTGTAAGTTAGTTATTTCTGCTTAGCAAGGTCAATGTTTCTGTAATTGTGAATGGTTAAGTGTGAACCGTAGTTCATACATGGTGTCTAACTAGCTGTGTGAATGTCCGGGTCGTGTTACTAGCTCAAGGGGATGTGTGATTCTCGCTTGGAGCAGAACTGATGTCTTGTGAGGCTTCATAAGTAGTTGAGATGATCATTGGACCATACTGTTTTCTGTGCTTGCTTGCTAAGTGATAATGTGAATTGTATAACTGATAGTATGATGCGTTTTCTGATACTGGCTAAGGTGTTATGGGATGACCGTATTCACTAAGTATTTACCAAATATTTATGCCTCTGTTTTTGAGTGTGCAGGTAAGGATAAGGTCTAAGGCGAGTAGCTCTGAAGGCGGACTGGAAGGCAGTGAAGAGAAGGGATGGATTAGGACTGGGTTTGGGATTTATGTTCTGAGTTTGAGTTTCTATTTAAGTACTTGTGTTAGTGCTTTCTGAGTTAAACCGAATCTGATAAATTTAGTTTATGTTGTTGAATCCGAATTTTGTTAAGTGTATTTAGAATAATTATGCAATGAGAATGGATGTCTTTTGATGAATCGAACTAGTTTAAGTTTAAGAAAAGTTTTTAAGATATGCATGTTTTTGTATTCTGGCCGAGAGAAGACTCGGTGAGGTTCGGGCCGGTCTAGTGATAGACGGTCGGGTCCTCACAGAGACCCCTTCCAGTCATCCCCAAAGGCCTCCTAACTGTTCCTTTGCATTCCAGGAATGGGAGTCCCGTCAAGCTGCCCCCATAGTTTGTCCAGCGAGCTCCCAAGAGGCTCCATCATGGTCTCAGGAGAGAGCAGTCTGCCCCTGTTAAATTGTCCAGCGAACTTCCAGGAGGTCTTAACATGCTCCTGGAACACAACAGCCTGTCCCGTCAAACTGTACAGTGAACACTAGAGAGGCCCCAGCTAGTTCCTGAGAGACTTCTGTCAACCCTTGTCAAACTGCACAACGAGTTCCTGAAGGCCCTAACAAGCTCCCTGAAAACTGCAGTCTGGCCCCGTCAGATTTTACAGCGAGCTCCCAGGAGGCTCCAGCATGTTCCCGTGAGACAACAGTCTACACTTGGCAGATTGCCTAGTGAGCCCGAGGAGGCCCCAGAAAACTTCCAGGAAAAGCAGTCTACCCACGCCGGACTGCCAAGCGAGCTCGCCCCAGAAAGTTCATGGGAGACAGCAGTCTGCCCCTGTGAGGCTGTCTAACAAACTCTCACGAGGCCCCAAAAAATTCTCGGGAGACAGCAATCTGCCCTTGTCAAACTTCCCAGCGAGCTCCCAGGAGTCCCCATCAAGCTCCTAAGAGACCTCAGTAAGCTCTCGGAAGACAGTAGTCAGCCCCTGTAAAATTGCCCAGCGAGCTCCCAGGAAATCCCCGTAAGCTTTTATGAGACAGTAGTCTGCCCCCGTTAGACTGTCCAGCGAACTTTCAGAGGCCCCAACAAGCTCCCGGGACACAGCAGCCCTCCCCCTTCAGACTTCCCAGCATGTTCCTAGGAGACCCCAACAAATTCCAAGGAAACAGCAGTCTGCCTCGTCAGACTGCCCAGCGAGTTCCCTGGAGGCTCTAGCAAGCTCCCGGGAGACAGCAGTCTGACCACCATACTGCCTAGCAAAATCCCAGGAGGTCTCATTATGCTCTCTGGAGACAGCAGTCTTCTCTTGTCAGACTGTCCAGCGAGCTCACAGGAGGTCCCCAAGCAACCCCCTCGGGAGACAGCAGTTTTCCCTCGTCAGAATATCCCAGTGACCTTCTTTGATGCCCCCAGCAAGCATACCGACGTACCAAGAGACAGCAGTCTACCTCCGTCAGAATGTCTCAATGAACTCGCAGGAGCCCCCTACACCCCCCCCCCCCCTCCCAGCAACCCTCTGAGAGACAAGATTCTACTGGCCCAGCGAGTTCCAAGGAGGCCCCCAGCAAGCGCCCATGGAGATCGCAGTCTGCCCCCGTCAGACTGTCCAAGCAAGCTCTGCAGAGGCCACAGCAAACCTTCTAGGAGATAGCAGTGTGCCTATGTCAGACTGTCCCATTAAGCTCCTAGAAGGCCCCCATAAACCCACCCACCCACCCCCCCCCCCCTCCCCCCCGCAAAACAGCAGTCTGCCCCGTCAGACTATCATATCAAGCTCGAAGAAGGCCCTCAGCAAGCACCACGGAAGACAGCAGTCTGCCCCCATCAGACTGTCCCATCGAGTTCACAGAAATCCCCCAGGAAGCCCCCCGAGATATAGTAGTCTGTACCGTTAGACTATCCCAGCGATCTTCGAAGAGACCCCCTGCAAATAGGCATGTCAAACGGGCTGGGCCGGGCTTATGTTGAACTCTCTCCCCAAGGTATGCTCAAGCTTCTGAGTGGAACATCAGAATCCACTAGATGAAGATTAGGAACAAATGATGCAACCTTCTTTAGAAAACATACAATCTCCTTCTTCGGCAATAGAGGTATAAAAACTAGAATCCAGAAAGCAAAATGAAGGAGAAAAGTGATTCAATTCATCGAATACATTCTCGAGCATAAGACGAAATGAAGGATGATGAAACTCGAGTTTCTGAAAAAAAAGTGATTACCAGGGATGTAAACGTGCAAGGCATAATTTCCTTCGACATGAGGGAAGAGTCTTACTCGAACCACATGCTCTGTTGAGAAGAAATCTAGCGACCATTCAATTTCATAGAAGTTATCAGTATGAATCAGATTGAAGAACAATCGGAGTTAACAAATTCATGAGCATCATCATCACCAGTTGATCCGATGGAATCGAGAAGCGAAAGCGGCAGAGGAGGCAAGGCAATCGACTCCTTCTCGTGCTTCACACCGGTTGAATTCTCGCCGGGATTCGCAGAACCGGAACCGGCTGGCGAAATATCATCGGTATCGGAGTCAGATGAAGAGTCACCACCGTAGGAAGCTCTCAGTGCTTCCATTAGGCATGTCAAACGGGCTGGCCCGGCCCGGCCCGAAACCCATAAAGCCCGTATATATTTAAGCCCGGCCCTGCCCGATAATATATCGGGCCTATGTTTTGAATCCCGGCCTGGCCTTAACAGGGTTATCGAGCTTTTTCGGGCTTTTCAGACTTTTTAGAACAATAAAATAAATTTTAAAAATAATCATAAATATAGTTTTATCAAATCTGAAAGCAAAACTTTAACTTATAAATTCATATAAATTCTAATATCAAATATAATTAAATAAATAGGTAATGTAAATAGTAGAAACGCTAGAAATCGAGATGAGAATCTTCAGGATGAAAGTATGAGTGCTTCTTGAAACTAGTCTAGTTTGAGTATTGATGTTATATGAAGGCACACAACTAAAAATTAAGGTTTTATATTAATAAAGAGTATTATAAAAAAATTAATAACTCTAATTTTTAAAAATTGTAAAGATAATTTATTAATAAAAATTCTAAATAAAATTCTAATATAAAGTACATGGATTTTCGGGTAAGTCCGAGACTGATCGGGCTTAAGCCCAAATAGGCTTAGCCCGAATGAGTTTAGCCCAAAAACCTCGAGTTTTTTGGGCTTCTATACCAAAGCCCAAACCCGGTATTTTTCAGGGCCGTGCCAAACCGGGCTTCGGGCATTGGCCCAAATTGACATCCCTACCTGCAAACTTTTCAGGAGAGTAATTTACCACTGTCAGACTATCCAACAAACTCTTAAGAGTTCCCCAACATCTTACAAATAATTTTTTTCTTTTAGTTTACTTTGATTCTTTTAATTTGTAATTTTCAAAATGGAAATTCAGAATCTTATAAAGGATTTTTTTTGTCTCTTCTCTTACTTTAAATTAAGTATTTTATATGAATTTTATACAAAGTTAATATAATAAATTTATGATTAGCTTAAGAGCTAAATGAATAAGCATATTGGGCCAATAATGAAATACTTCCAATAGACATATTAGACCTGGAAATTTTATCCGGTTTCGAAGATCCGATCCGGAACGGACCCTAGAAAACCAGATCCAAGACGATTCTGATCTTGCATAATATCCGATCGGGAGTGTTTTGCTTTGCATTTTGGGTACTGGGTATTATCCAGACCAAACCGATACCTGAACGATATCCAAGATATCCGACTGTCTAGATCCAATCCCTAACTTTACCTTATGTATGATCATTCCCCTTCTGATGCACTTTCCCTCAATCCCGATTATGCAGCCAGAAAATCAGAAAATATTCATTATCTCAATCCCGATTTGCAAGCCAAATATCAAAAAGTATCCATTCCCAAATTCGAAAAACTGGAATTTTAAAAATCATTTCTATGCAACCATTGTTTTCGTCTGAGACGTCAAGAAATCAATTCAGTCTTCAGTAAGAAATTCCATCTGAATTGATCGATGCATAATGCAATTTATTGCTTGATACTTTGATTTGTGATTGAGATTTCGTGTCTTCATTCTATTTTGTCTCTTAGCAGCTTAGCCTATCATTTCATGCCTGGATTGCTTAATGGGTTTCCTCTGTTGCATAATGTAGTTGATAGAAATATAACTGACTGTGAAGTAGCTGTTTTCATGTTTGGACCATATGGGCATTCATTGAGAAGTAGCTGTTTTTTTAGTTTTTGTTTTGAGTTTGGATTATATTATTCAGCTTGAGTTAATTTTTGTTGTGTTTCTGTATAGATCTTTGTCTCGATTTATAGTGCTTTATCTCTTTTTGAATCAACATATGTTCTTTCTCTGTTATACAATGTATCTGATGGTGCTCTCGATTAATATAGAAGAAGCATGAATATTTGGTACTTATCTTCTTCAACATTCGTGTTTAAGAAGTAGGATTTTATTCACTATCATAACCGATTTTTAGGAGTTTTTAAGTACTCGCTTCTTGTTTACAAATAAAAAGAATTTGGAGTTATTCCTCTTTTAGTAAGTTTGTAACTTTATCTTTCAGTGTTTAGATTTAGTACTTAAGTTTTGTCAAAAGATAAACTGTTGAAGTGTTGATTTTGATTTTGTCATTGAACATTGACAACTATTTCATAGAACTACTTCCTCTCTTTAGGCTTCTCTTGAATGTTTCATACATTCATTTGGTTTTGTTCTTGTCTTATGTTCAATATTTTTTGTCTCTGTAGATGGATTCTTCTTCAGTTTTAGATGCTGAAACTCAAGAAACTCAGGATGTGCCTCATAATCGTGGGAAAAGAAAGGAGAGAAGTGGACCTACTTCTAAACCACCTAAGCCAAGGAAGGTATTGGCTACAAGGTCTCCCGTGTGGGATCATTATACAAAACTAGTGTAGAATTATGACAAATGAAAATGTGATAATTATCTACGAAGGACTTCGAATTTGCATAAGCATCTGGTAAGCTGCAAGAAGTTCTTGGGCTATAAACCGAGTCAATTTTCCGATACACGAGTTGTCACTAAGGATGGAAATATGATGAGATGCTAGTGTTGGGGGAATTGCCACTTGCATTTGTTGAACATCTGGCATGGAGTTACTTTTGTGACAAGGTCATTCTCTACTCTCCTCAATCAAGAAGAACTGCTACAAAAAAACATTATGAAGATGTATGCTAACAGAAAAGTGGCTCTTAGGGCATATATTGTAGCCAATAAGCAACGAGTGTCACTTACTACTGACATATGGGTTACTTAGCCTATAGAAAATAGTTATATGGTCATCATTGTGCACTTCATTGATGTAAATTGGCAGTTGAGAAAGCTGATAGTCAGGTTCAAATATGTCAGTGATCATATAGGGAACACTATATTGAGAGTTCTTCTAGAGTGTTTGGCTGAATGGGAAGTAGAGAAGACATTCACCATCACAGTTGACAATGCCACCGCCAACATATCCGCTCTCAAGAAATTTTAGAGCGAATTTAATTTATTGAACAATGATTCATTGGTATTAAATGGGAATTTATGCATGTGGGGTGTTACAAACATATTATTAACTTGATTGTCAAGGAATGTTTGCTTGAGTTAGCTGATAATGTCTCAGCTGTTCGGAATGCAGTGCATTATGTGAGGGCATCTACTAACTGGTTAAACTCTTTTGATGATAGGATTGACACGAGAAATATAAGCAGAGGGAGTTTGCCTTTGGATGTCAGAACAAGGTGGAATTCAACTTATTTGATGTTGTTACAAGCTATTAATTTTAGGGCTGCGTTTGATAAGATAGAACTTGAAAATAAGCTTTACAATGACTGTTTTATGAAATTTGAGAATGGTAAAAGAAGGATTGGACCTCCTCTTTTTGACGATTGAAAAGTTTTGGAGAGGTTAGTATAATTTTTCATCATTTTCTACAATTCTATTGTGGTTGTCTTAGCATCTATTTCTATTTGCTCTTATAAGTGTTACAGTGAGATAATGACTATAAAAAGGAATCTAATGAATATAGACTGCTTCCAACTCTGAATCGTGCACTTCCACATCGATTCCAATCGACTCTTTCTGAGAATCGTGATTCCGAACAATTTCATTTCTGTTTCTGATTTTAGAGCGGGGATCAAAGCTCCAATGACGATTTTGTGCTTCGTAGACAATAAATTATCTTAAAAAAGTAGAGTAAGACTAAAAATTAAATAAAAAGACATAAATAAAGTTTAAAATAATTTCTAGCCTCCAAATGACTCTTAATCTTAATTTTCATCACTCAATTTGACCAGAATTAAAATAGATTATTTTAGACTTTTCTTAAATTTGTAATAGCATCAAAATGGATTTAACTTGGTAAATAACATCATAGATGTATTTATGATCGCTCACCATGTACAAAACTTCATAAATCAGTTCATCATTGCCATCTTTGAATGTTAAAGATGCCATTTTGTCTTTGATCAAGTTGAGTTGTTTCATGATTCCTCTTATATGTGTAAGAACTAAAAAACCCAAACGCCACATGTTAGTGTCTAAGATGAAATCGCTGCAACGTTCATCATTTCCTGTTCCGACAGATGCCAACGGTGTTCCTCTGGCAATATTTCCACCAAATTAGCCGATTGATCTCCATGAAGCTGCCACAAAACCACTGCTCTTTCCTTTTGCACATAGTCACCGAGGAAGAAAGAGAAACCTCACCTACTCATCAGAAATTTAACACCAGAGAGTCATCAGAAGCAAGGTATCAGAATTTTTATCGGACCGCGTGAAACACTAGTTCTTCATATTCTGCTACCAAACACCTGAATTAGCTCGCCATCTCTCAATTCGTTACCATTTCAAGAGAAACTTCACCTCATTAACGGAACTCATCGGATGGTGAAGTAAGTAGATTACTCTCTTAAGATAACAACATGAACCAATCTGATAAGATAAGAGAGAGATGAAACTTTATCCACCAGAATTTGATATTAACACTTGTAAAAGGGAATTATAAAACAAAATCTGATATACAAAAAAAAAAAATTATCCGACACAGTGGAATCTGTAAATTCGACTAAGCGGAAGATATATTACAAACATAGATCCGATATAATATATACAGCATGGCACTGATGTCGGGTTTACGCTGGCCACCGACCAAAAAAAAGATTTAAATCTGAGTAGAGTAGTTTATAAGGTTTGAGAGGATTTAAAAAGAGAAGTTAGAGAGATTTTTAAAAAGTAATAAAAAGTCTTTTTGATATATATATATATATTTTTTTTACTTTTTTGATTTTTTTGACAGAAATAACTATAATAAAAATAAAATTAAAAATAAAATATAAAAAGTAGAAAAAGAAAAACAATGAGAAGATAAGAAAATGGTAGAATGATAAATGACCAAATTTAATTATTCTGCATTTTAAAGTTGACGCATGGATAGACCTTAGATTCAAAAGATTGTGAAGTCACGAAGAACAAAGTGATGGATTAAATAGCCACACCAAAATGGCGGAAGACCCCTTTTATTTCACTAGACTCCTTGAATATACCATATCATGATGGAACAAATTATGCTTGTTGGATATGATACACCAATCAATCGGTTTAGATCAATAAATATTACACAGCATAATCAAAAAGTTCACAAGGAACTCAACTGAAAATCACTCTCAAGTTTTTCAAAAATAATGGGTACAAATGGTTGTTAGGTTAGAGGAACAAAATTGGAGGAAAACATCAATTATTCTCTATTTCTCTAAATATTTACTATTTATCACTTAATTGCATTTTTTTAACTTATGATGGGTCTCACACAAAAGGGAAAAAATAACACTTGTTCTTTTGGAATTTAGTACTCTACAAAATAGTAGAGGAATGAGTTGGAAAAATTCAATTAAAAAACACATTATTCTACTTTTTTTTTTCACTAATAATTATTCTTCTAGTTCCTCTCGCTTACAACCAAAAGCCCTTTTATTGGGCCTTTATTTATCTATTCTGGGCCTAAATTAGCTATCAAATAAAATAAATAAAACCCTATTTCCATTTCCTTTTTCCCCCAAATGTGTGTCTTCTAGAATTCGAAATTCACAGCCATCGATCCCTAGCTTTCTCTCTCCACCCCCTCTCTCTCTCTTATTCTCTGTTTCCGGCGTTGTTTGTAAGCAAGCAGTAGGGTTATCAATTCGTTTCTAGTTTTGGGTGATAGTGCGCAATGAGGAAGGGAGCAAAGAGGAAGGTTGGTTCGAAAGCGGGTCGCAAAGCTGCGGTTGAGGAGATTCAGAACGAAGAGGTGATAGCTGAGTCTCAGGAGGCGACGACGCAGGAGAACGGGGAAGAGGCGAAGGGAGAACATGAGAACGGAGAGGAAGTCGTACCGACGAAACCTGATGATTCAACGGAGGAGAATCAGGACGATGAGGTCAAAGACGCTTCTCCTTCTCAGCCGCAAGAGGATGAAAGTGCCGAGGAAGTGAAGGAGGATAAGAAGAAACCTGCTCGTGGCGGTGGTGGTAAGCGAAAGAGGGCCACGAACAAGGAGACTGAGAAGAAAGATGTGAAGAAACCCGCTCCAAGAGCTAAGAAACCCCGAGCGACCAAACCACAAGAAGAGCCTGAGTACTTCGAGGACAAACGTAATCTGGTATGCTTCTGCTAACCCGTAGTCTCGGATATCATGTATACTGATTAAGATCCGTCACTTGGATAATATGCGATTTGTGGGTTTGTGATGTGTGTTGTTTCGCTTATTTAAGCTTTATGATAACGCAAATTCTTTGTGAAATCAATAATGAAAGATACGTTTTGGACCAGTATCTCCAATTTAAGAGGAAATTGTTCTCTTATAGCTTAACCTATAGTTGCTAGAGAGAATAAGATATAGATAGGTTTACCTCTATGAGCCTGTGGAGGGGATTTTCCCAATGGAGTATTAAATATGTTGAGCACTTAGTAATTTAACTCCAAAACAAAGGTCTTGTTTTTTCTCTTTGCATATTTCTGCCGCGTGAGTGGTGAATTTACATGTGCGCTTGTTTTGTGTTTCCAGGAAGATCTGTGGAAGGTTGCATTCCCAGTGGGAACTGAGGTATGTTTGTCTTGAGGAATTGATTTTGTTTCACCAACGATCAGAGTCACTGTCTCCATTGAAATTCTTTGCTTATGATTATTCTATTTTGATGGCAGTGGGAAAATTTAGATGCAGTTTATGAATTCAATTGGGATTTCAAACATCTCGAAGTAAGTTGTTTGGATTACATTCTCCGTTGTTTCTTTTATCTTGTCCATTGTTGAAGAGATTCTGGTATTTATGTTTCTTCGTCTTTGTTTCAGGAAGCATTGGAGGAAGGTGGTATGCTCTATGGGAAGAATGTATATGTTTTTGGCTTTGCAGAACGTAAGTTGTTTCTCCTGCTTTTTTTAAAAAGATTTTCGCTAGTTTAAGTCACCTTTGGCACTTGCGGTTCTTTTCTAGTTTGCTTAACAAATCTGTCAATTTTCTCTTTTCTATATTTACAGCTCAGTTCTTCCTCCACAATGGCGAAAAGACTTTTGTCCAGGTCCCAACAGTTGTTGTTGTAAGTTATCCTATAAATCTCTATCAACGGTTTTGGTTGCTATCACTGATCATGTATTATCTCGCTCCTCCTTCTAATATTTTGTATATGCAGATTGAATCACCCTTTCCGCCTTCTGATATGCTAGCAGTCACATCGATTCAGAGTGCAGTGGAGAAAACGATTCCAATGAGTCAGATGAAAATGGCCTGGGTTCCTTACATTCCCTTTGAAAAAAGGTACATTTGTTGGGATCATTGAGAAGAGAGATGGATTATGTCAAGGGTAATTCTTACTTTTGATGTTTACCGGAAGTTGCTAATTACTATTTGCTTTGTTCTTCTTGCAGAGATAGACAAGTTGATAGGATGAAGCTTCCAATTTCTGTCTTGGGCTGTACACAGAGGAGGTAGGAAACATGTGTCAAATGACTAATAGAGTTTATCAGTGTTCACTTGCTAGGATTTTGAGTCGCTTTACATATAAGATTTAATATTTGAACATCGAACATGTCATCACGCATCTGTTACTTGATAGTGTGATGAGTTGGGTTGCATTGTTTGTTTCCTATATTTCTGCATATTGATAATTCTTTAGGGTGCATGTATGGATGGGTCATAGCCATTGCAAATCTATACTCTCTCTTATACAGATTGTATTGTTTGAATCTACCATTTCTGGTGTACTCAGTTTATCTTTGTTCGTTATCTGCAGAGCTGCTATCAAACATTTGAAGGAAGATCGCGTTAAGATGTTCGAGTATATCATTCCTTGTGAGTTTCTTATTCCTCTACCACCAATACTAGTGCTAAAAATTTGCAGATGTAAAACCATTTATATAGTACATGGCAAGGCTGTTGGCAGTGGATGATCTGTATGGTTTCCTTGTTATGTATTTGGTACACAACAACAAAATCTAATGTGTCTTTTTCTTCTGCTTTGCAGATTTTGATCAACCGTTTAAGGAAGATGATCTTGAACAGAGTACTGAGGTCCAGATTATGTTCCCCTCCGATCCACCGGTAAGTTCTCTGGCATGCAATGACTGTGTTGAGAAGTGGCATGTCTACATGAAATGGTTTGCGATAATCAAACCTTAAATTTTCATATTGTGCCAGGTTGTATGTGAATTTGACTGGGAGTTGGACGAACATGAGGTATGCATTTTGCCTTTTCTGTATCCATAAAGCGTACTGCTTCCTTGTGTGTTCAAATTGCATTTATTGTATGCTAAAATCTTGAAATTTGTGCATCTATTATCTCAGGAATTTGTTGATAAAAAGATTACAGATGAAGAAATATCTGCGGAACAGAAGGATGAATTCAAAGTAAGTTTTGAGCTGTAAACACAGTTTGTCCATTGATGAACCCTTGAGTATATCTCTAATAACCATTTTATCTCAGGAATTTATTAAAGAGAGTGTTCGAGCAGCAAAGAAAGCTAATCGAGAGGTAAATAATTGTGTAAAACTCGACTAAGATGAGATTTTATTGAAACTGTTGTAGCTAAGTAGGGTTTAATATTTTATTAATTCTTGCAGGCAAGAGAAGCAAAAAGGAGAGTAATAGAAGAGATGAGCGAAGAGAAGAAGCAAGCCTACAAAAACATGAAGTTTTACAAATTCTACCCTCAAAATGCACCAGACGTGGCTAAGAACATGATGAAGTCTGCCTTCATTAACCGTTACTACGGGAATGCTCACCAAGTTCTTTGAATATGAAAATCTTCTTCAGAATCCCCAGATTTAGCTTTTCCTTGGCAGCTTCAATCTATCAACAGTGCTCTCAGAAACTCTTTGAGCTTCTTCTATAGTTTAAACGACTACATGTGTTTTATTTTATTTATTAATGAGTTTTGTATTCTCCTCTAGAAATACTTGAGTCCCGCCACTTGGGAGCCAACTTTTTTGTTTGTGTGGAAATTTGAAGACGGCATTATATAATTCTACTATTGAAGTTTTTTTTTAATTTGCATTGCATTCTCAAATTATTCTGGACGTTTATTACTGTTATGTTTAATCTAACTCATGTTATACTGTGCAAATATAATATTAGATCAAAAAACAGATGAGAAAAAAAGAAGTTAATATTGAAAAAATAACATGAATAAAAAAGAAAAAAATGAAAAGAACAAAATAATAGAAATGAATAGAAATTAAAAAAAAAAAAATTTGTTTTTCTCCAAATTTGATTAAAGAATAGGTTTGTTCTATAATCCCCTACCTATTAATTGACATAAATATGCTGATTTGTTTTAATTTCATTGGTTAAAAATATCAATATAACCTAATTAAATATGACATGGAAATGATGATATGTAATGATGATGTAATTGTGACATGACATTTGCTAACTCATATGGATTATGAGATGGTAAAAAAAATTATGTGTTTAATTTATTTTAGTTCAAATAATTATTTTATGAAAACTAAAAATATAAAATATTTAATTATTAATATAAATTATAAACCGTCGTTTTTTATCACATGCACAAAATATATGTTATATTTTTTATTACATGCACAAATTTGTACACGTTAAATTGTATAAAAATTATATTTTCATCACATGCACCGACTCTATAATCTAAAGTAACATTATTCTAACAATGTTTAACTAAAGAACTCATTTTTGTTGTCTACACAAAACATAAGCAAACAAATATACAAAAAAAAGTTAGAGTATACCATGTTTTGTTAACAGAAGTATGATTATCTATTTTTAACAGTCTTCTTGAGATTGTCTTTCCCAATATAATCCAAAGCAACATTAATTGTATCATCAAATTGTATAAAAATTATGAAAATTGTCTTCATCACATGCACCGACTATATAATCCAAAGTAACATTAATCTAACAATGTTTAACTACAGAGCCCTTTTTGTTGTCCACACGAAATAGAAGCTAAACAAATATACAAAGAAAAGTTGGAATATATTTAAGTTCAAATAATTTTTTGTGTTTAATTTATTTTAGTTCAAATATTTGTCTTATACGAAGAAGTCTTTGAGAATTTAGAGGCTAAATAACTGGATAAATTGAGGAAGATTAATTGAAGACGAAGAAGATGATGAAATTTGCAGGTATGTACGCCTGACCCGCAAATCCACAGCAGGTAACCCGCTTAACCAGCTATCCACGGGTCTAACACTTTTGGCCCTTTAACATAAACATGGGCCTTTTTTATAATGAAATGTTTACTTAAAATTATACTATATTTTGCTATTAGGTCCTATAATTTAATCACCGTACCTAATTTTTTATATATTACAAAAAATAAAATATTTATAATGGTTTAGATATTATATTTATGTAATTAAATTTTTAAAATTGTTTATGCCTGCACATGCGTGCAGGCCAAACTCCTAGTTCCTTTTAGAATAGAAAAAGTAAGGAATAATATGAAAACAATATTCTTAGTAAATAGTAAAAAATTTAAGAAATTATTCTTCATCATTTCTCATCATTCATTTTGTCACCAATTACACTCTAAATGTGCAGAGCTTGGTAAAACTACAAACTTGATACATGTATAATACGAACATAATTTAGCTTATATTTTCACTGTATGCTTGGATTATTTTCCTGAAAAAAACTTAAACCAATTAAAGATAAATTCATTCATCACATGTTTTCAAGAAATCTTTGTATTTCATTAGCCACTTGGCCCACTTTCACCATTTTTGGAACTTCCTCTCTATCACCAATGCATCTTTCACAGAGTGAAAAAAAGCTTCAATTCGAAAACGCTCTTCTTCTGAAACTTCACCCATTTCCTCCAGTATATTTGGATCCACAATCTCATCCATTCTTCTCTTTAATCATCTTGGAAACGTCATGTGTCTTACATATCTCCAGTCCAAACCATACATCTCACGAAACCTTGTCTCTCCCATCATAAGCTTCTGCATGAGAACTCCAAACCCGAATGCATCAGTTTTCTCTGAGACTATCAGACTCCTCATGTAATCATCATCCTTGTAATCGTAATCTCCAGCTCCGGAATCAAGCCTAACAAATGTTTCTCCTTCCGAAATCGAGACGCACTTTGAGAAATCATTCAGTTTTGCGACATCATCATCTAACATGATATTCTTATTACACATGTTCCTATACACGATTGACATTGAGAAGGCATTGTGAAGGTAAGCTAAACCAGTCGCGATTCTCTCTGCTATTTTCATCCTCCTTCTCAACGACAGTTCATATCTAGATCTAAAACACTAGTGGGTTCTTGTTTCTCTGCACCATTATAAACCATGACTGGATATGGAAGTTCAAGACAACATCCCACAACTTCATGAAGTTCTTGTGACCACTAACCATTGATAATATCGCAATGTCACGTGCCTGAAGACAAAAGTCTCTACATATGCAATGCAAGGCGGTGCGCACCACATGCTCTTGACGAGTATCATGTGATGGTTATGGATAGTACCGAAATAAAACCTCCTAGAAACTTGATGAAAATTGCAGAAACTGTCGGTGGCTTTGATGATTTGATCAGCAGAAAAGAAATAGATTGGATTGGATTTGCCATCTCAACACTCGATCAGCTCTTCAAACAATATTTCAACTCTCTCACGGCCTCGAGCCGATCTCTCCTTGTCAACAACGGCTCGTGAGTTATTTTTCTTCCAATAATCCATATTAAACTCACTTACTAAAAAAAAATGTTTACTTTGAAGATAAAATGATATAAGATTGAAGACTCATACTTTGTGAAGATTAAGAGATAAAAGACATAAGAGCTGTTTATTCTCCAAAATATTAAACAAATGCGTCCTTCTACATCTAATAAAAAACGTCTCATATCTTAAAAGCTGTTTATTCTCCAAAATTATCCGTTTTACATATTTTTGGCCTGTTTGTCCAATTTTTTCATTTTTGCTCGCATCCTCCTCACATCCTCCATCGTCTTGAAGCCTTTTGACCTTGATCGATAATATTTACTGGTAGGCCTGGCTCAGTTTGTCACTCGTGGTTTTTAGCCTACTCTTTTTTAGTGACTCCTATTTTTGCAATTCAAAGCCCATATATGCTTTTGAAGACTGATATCAGTTTGTTTCTCTGCACATTATTGTTGCAATTCAAACCTGCAACATTCCACAAATACTAGTGGGTTTTTGTTTCTCTGCACCATTATAAACCATGATTGGATATAGAAATTCAAGACAACATGTCACCAAATTCATGAACTTTTTGTGACCACTTACCATCGATGATATCGCAATGTCACGGCCTGGAGACAAAAGTCTCAAGATATGCAAGGCGGTGCGTACCACACGCTCTTGACGAGTATCCTACGATGTTTATTGACAGTACTGAAATGACATATCCCAGAAATTGTATTAAACTTGCAGAAATTATCGGTATGGTTTGGTCAGCAGAAAATAAATGTATTGGATTGGATTTGCCATCACAACAATATCTCACCCCTCTCACGGCCTTGAGCCGATCTCTCCTTTTGAAATACGGCTTTGTTGGATAAGGTTAGCTAGCTTCGAGTCCAAGACATCATTAGCAAGTCGGTTAATGATGAGATAGACATAAAGAAAATTGTCTTATTATTTAGGAATAGGAAAAGAGTGTTTTCTTATTAATCATAGGATTAGAAAAGGAAGTTCTATACCTATAAATATGATCATCAAGTTGTGATGAATCATTAAGAAAGTTAAGAGAGCTCTGTGTTTAGTTTTGAGTTATTTTCTAAACATTAATAAAGAGAGTTATTCTTTAAACAAAGCTAAGTTATCTTTCTGAAACTATATTTGGTATCAGAGCGGTTTCATTCTGAGACAACACAAAGATCATCACATATAGACGTCGAACCCGAGCCATGGGAGATACAGCAACTTCAGCGGAGAAGAAGGAACCTGTACGAGCATCAGTAGTTTGTCCGATGCTCAACTCGACGAATTACACCGTATGGTCAATGCGGATGAAGGTGACCTTGCGAGTTAGTAAAGTTTAGGAAGCTATCGACCCGGGAACAAACGAAGCTGAGAAGAACGACGTTGCAACAGCTTTGTTATTCCAGTCGATACCTGAAAGTCTCATCCTTCAAGTTGGTGATCATGACTCACCAAAGGAGATATGGGAAGCAATTAAATCACGACACCTTGGTGCAGACAGAGTAAAAGAAGCCCGTCTACAAACTTTAATGTCAGAGTTTGAAAGGTTGAAGATGAAGGAATCTGAAACAGTAGATACCTTCGCAGGCAAGATATCATAACTCGCATCAAAGTCTGCGTCATTAGGTCAAGTACTCGATGAACCTAAACTCGTTAAGAAGTTTCTCAATAGCCTACCGAGAAACAAATTCATACACATCATCGCTTCCTTAGAACAAGTCTTGGATCTCAATAAGACCGGTTTCGAAGATATTGTTGGGCGTCTCAAAGCTTATGAAGAGCGTATACAAGATGATGCTAGTAATAATGATACACAAGGAGATCTTCTGTTTACAAAAACAGAGTCTCAAGGGAATCAGAGGAGCGGCGAAACCTCAAGAGAACGAGGAAGAGGACGAGGAAGGGGTCGAGGAAGAAGCTCTAGGGGAAGAGGTCGTGGGAGATCTAACACACAAGAACGAAACAAGGAGAAGAAAGAAAGACCAGACATTACGTGTTATACCTGTTTTAAAACAGGACACTTTGCTTCAGTATGTCCTGAAAGAGAACAAAGACGTCGAGAGTTAAATAAAGTTGAAACGCAAGAAGAAGAAGAAGAAGCACTTTATATGCACGAAATAGTGTTTCTTAATGAAGAAAAGCTCATCCCTAAGAAGTTTGAAGCCGAGAAAGAAGGCAATGGAACATGGTACTTGGACAACGGTGCAAGTAACCATATGACGGGAGTGAAATCTTTCTTCTCGGAACTAAATGAAAAAATCAAAGGAAAAGTCAAATTCGGGGATGGCTCTTGCGTTAACATCAGTGGGAAAGGATCGATACTCTTTGAAGGGAAGACAGGAGAGCAGAGACTCATGACCGACATATATTACA